ATGCTCAACAATTGTGCGAGTTATTACATAAATATGAAGAACCAAGCATAGGACTTGAGCGCCGCCATGCGGAGGCTTATAAAAACCTTTAATAATAATTCAATTAATTCCAAAAATTTAAGTGTATGAAATTAAAATAAATTAATATTAAATTTGGGAACTTTCAAATTTAATATATATTTTGTAGTATTTAACACCAATTTTAGAAATATATTTGACTTTAATCAATAAAAAGAATTATCTAGTCATAAATTAAGATATCTAAAGGAGAATAAATAATCGAAAAAAGCAAAAACCGATGTTAAAATGATACTAAAGTGACTCGTATTTGAAGGATTTTTAAGGTAAATATATTTATTTATCTTTATATAATATTAAAAGTTTTTCATATGTCCTTAAGTTTTTAATTGCATTCTATTTGTACTTGAAAGTATTTGAAATATTCAATTTATGCTTTTGATCATTTTTTTAATGCAAATGAAAGTTTTTTTTACCAAAGTGCCTCTAATTGAAATGTAAGAAAAAAAATTCTAAAGACTTCAAGATAAAACAAGTAGATCAATTGACTTGAAGTGTTTTTTTTTCTTTCTCATTTTAGTAAAGGGTATTTCAATAAAAAAATTATGGTAAAAAATTTTAACCCATATAATAAATTGAACATTTCAAAATTTTTTAAGAACAAATAGGATGCAATTAGAAATCTAAGAATAAATGAGAGACTTTGAGTATTGTATAAAAATAAATTGATATATTTAGCTGAATTTTTAATTTAGTTAATGAGTTCATAGTTGTTTATTATAAAACCAATTATTCTCTAGTTGATATTAAAACTCTCATTTTTTTATTTATTTCGCATCTACATAAGTTTCAACATTAAATTCCATTATTTAAAATAAAATTATAACTTTCAATAGGAAATTGATAAGATCAAGCGAAAAATTATTGACATATCTATAATATTTCAAAAGAATAAGGAATCACATGTTATTTATATATTGATAAATCGTAATGAATTTTAAAGCAAGGCATAATCAATAAAAAATTAATAGACTCTAAATCTGAATCTAGTCCTGTTTTTTTTTTTATATAATAATTATTATTATTTATATTTTGGGTTCAATTGCTTTATGATTTTTAGGATCCAACATCCTTCAATTCTCAACTTTAAATCCAACAACATAAAAAATACTTCCCCTTTCATTAACCATTTTTTAATTTCTAAAGACAAATATTGAAAATTCTTGCATATTTAATTGGGTAGACTTGACATCTAAACCTTCCTAATTAGGTTTATAACCTCTAGATTAGCATTGATATGTTTACTTCCTTGATGGTGCAAATCAAAACAGCTATATATAACCAAAAGTGCAAATCTAAGTCCCAAAGTTTTGCTTTAAATATCTTCTATCTTTTACACAAGAGTTGTCTCCTACTCCTCTTAATTTCTCTCTTTCTCGATACTTCGGGCTTCCTTCCCTTTTTGTTCATTCCATGGAACTACTTTGTAAGTTGTTTTATGAGATGAAGCCTACCTTTCTTATGATGGTTGTTCAAATTATATTGTTGGGCTTAATATGCTTTATAAATTGGCGACAAATGATGGAATAAGCTTGAAGATTATTGTAGGCTATACGTTCATATTGTCACTCTTTCATGGTCCCTCTTTGAAAGATTGATAATTTTGTATTTTTATTTTTATTTTTTATCTTTTAATGGTTAATGATCGAATAAATCCTAACAAATGCACTAGATCTTATCAAGTAATATAGGAAAGGAAAGTTCAAGTATTGAATCTCAAATGATTAATTATCTAAATACCATAATTATATAACTTCTTATATAAAGTTAAACAAATGGAAATAAGATAAATTTCTATCTAAACAACGGACTATCAAAGCAAAATAATAAGACCTTTTGAATACCATAATTATATAACTTCTTAATTGGCATAGGTGGGACAATACTTCTAACTTTTTTATCAACGGCCAGAGAGTAACATCCGGTCAACACGAGTTCACCTTTTAAATCATAGTCGACCACATAGAGGCCACGTGGCTCCATCTCATGATGCAAGTGCCTTGGGCTCTTTGTTGGCCGTAATCAAGTAATGTGTTTGTACCGAGAAAAATTCTCTAATTATTAGCACTCCCAAGGAAAAAAAAAAAGGGAGGGGGGAAATTTTAACACATTTAACAAGGAAATTATGAAAATATGATTTCCCTTTTCTTATAATCAATTAGAGTAAATTATAAATTAGTCCCTCTAGTTTCAAATAAATAAATTAATTAGTCTCCTTTATTTAAAAACTAATTATTTAGTTTTATATTTTTAAATTTTCTTATAACTTAATCTGTTTATTCTTTTTTAATTTAAATTATTTTTATTTTAAGAAATAGAAAAAAATAGGTAAAATATATAAAAGGATTGATGAGATAGACATTTTTTAAAATAAAACAATATTAAACATTTATCAAGGGACTAAATAATTGATTTTAAAACAAGAAAGATTAATTAATTTTTTTCTTAAAACTAGAGAGACTGACTTATAATTTACTTCATTAATTCTATACCATATATTTTTTTAATAATTATAAATTATATGTATATATAATTAGTTGATGTTTTTTTTTTTTTTTTTGGAAAGAAGCTCAAAGGAGAATAAGATATTAAATTTTATAATATATAACTAGTATACATATATAGTAGTTAATACATGGGTCCATTTTTTAAGAAATAAATAGACACATAACCAAAAAAAAAAAAAAAAAAGAGAGAGAGAGAGAGAGAGAATCACATCCGCATCTACCAAACGTCAAAAGAAGATTTTCACCTTAGGTAATTTTTTAAATTTTATCTCTCATGTTTCTCTTTTCTTTTGTATCTATCTCTCTTTATAGAGTAACTTGCACTAGTTACTCCTAGAGTAAAATTTCTCCATATTCGATTACAAAAAAATTTCAAATAGTGACAGCATTCAGCGACGGATTAGAGCCTGCTGCTAAATAACGACGAATCAGCAAATGAACTGCAACTGTTGTCGATGTGTGGATCTCGGTTACAAAACGCCGACAGATTAGCGATTGAAAATGATGATTTAGCAACAGAAAATTTCGTTGCTATTTTTACTGTTTTCTTGTAGTGAATTAGACTTCTCACCATAGCATATTTGGTGAATTAATTTATATTAATCAAGGCAAAGCTGATTGTTTTTGTATCTAAAGAGATTGTTTGGCTAAAATATAAAATACGGTCTTGAATATATATATAAACAAATATCCTCTTTAACTAAAAAAAAATTGTGATTTACCATCTAAAAAATATGATTTTTTTAAATGTGTTTCTTCTGTTAGAATTCCCTTAAGAAATTGATGAAAAACTATAAAATCCTTCTAATTCCTATTATTTTCTCTACCAATTTAGGAAAATAGGTTTACTGATAGCAAAAAGCTCTCAGGAAACTAAGATGATCCACGCTGCTATTATTACTTCTTCGATAGAAAATCAAGTAACAATGGAGACAACTTAACTGGTAGAGAAGAAAACATAAGAGGAAAAAAAGGGAGAAAATATAAAAGTTCTAATAACTTTATTGTGTGTGTTTTAATGACATGAACAATTATACCTCTCATAATTTCGAATTTTCCATTCACCATCTTCTCCTTCAAATTTTTCTACTTTCTTCAACTTGTCATTCTCTCTAATTAACTCAACCAAAGCTTTCTTGATCTCTAGTGATTTTCTCAATGATTACTCTATCCAAACCCACAGATACTGCTTTTCCTCCCTTATCTAAGGCTTCAAACTATTTTATCCCACCAATCACCTTTCTACTGTCATAATTCCAAGGATATCAACCACTTCAATTTCAAAATTTACATCCACAGCAACAAATTAAGTCTCCTGTAATAAAATCATTACTATTGCTGCAAGAGAAATCCCGACCAACAGCTGTTTAAGTTGAATTTGTCTTATGATCATAATGCAATGACAAATTTTGTTTCTTGACAAATATAAAAGGGCAATACCATTTACCAACTACAACAATATTAGAAGTCTCGTGAGATGAAGGAAAGTTGAACTTTGAAAGGCATTCTCAGTGAGAATGGTCGAGGCCAAAATAATCATCGTTTAAATTAAATACATCAATTCAACTTAAAAACAAAAGGAAAGAAAAATAAAGTTGCAGACACATGAAGATATCAGAGCATGCCAACATAGAGAAAGAAAGAAGGCACTTACTTCATTTCATGCCTCACTATCCAACCCTTTCAGCAGACTAAAGCTTCAACAATCTCATAAATATTGGCCCTAATATTTGAATATATAATTAAATTTTTTTGAATATTGGCCAACCAAAACAAAAACAATATATCAATGGTAGCATGGGAAAAGATAATCAAAGTAAAAAAAAAACAACATTTCAGGGACTAAATTATATTTATTGTAACTATACAATGACAAAAAAGCTTTCGATGAAAAATTTAACTGTTAGAAAAGGAAAGGAATTTAAAAGAGCCGATCGCCTTCTCAGTGACAAGACGGGCAGTTCTCACACACTAACCTTTTTTTTTAAAAAAAAAAAAGGCTTGAAAACGCCTTATGGGAGACCCCACACCTGCCGCTTTTTCTCCAAGAAGAAGAAACCGATAACGAAGAAGAACAACACAGCACTGTCGAAACCAAGCAAAATAGTACCGATGAGAAACAAGACAATGACGAAGATGGCAGTGAAGACGATGACGACGACAACAACGAAGAAGCTGGGGAAAAAAAACCGGACCTGCCCTCCAAACCTTCAAAGCTCGACTCGGAATCCAAATTGGATGATGACTCAGCAGACACTGAGTTAGGTCAGCTACCATCACCTTCTCTTTCTGATTTAGCCATCAAGCTCATCTCGCCGAAGCGCAAACCTGGCCCAAAACAGGAGTAGCCCAAGAAGGAGAAGGACACTGAGGACAAGAAAGCAAAGAGGGGAGCTGGACCTATTAAAAAGAAACCTAAGCTTGTGGTATCTGCAGAATAAAAGCAATTAAAACATGGCTTTATAAGTCAACTATTAAAAAAAAACCTCAAAGAAAAACTAAACATAGCACACTAAAATTGAAAATCTATGTTGTCCTAACTTTTATTATGGAGTTCACCTCTCAGCTTTTCCAGACAGACGTGTCACACTTATTGATTTCTAACCTTCCATTCTCTTTCTGTCACTAGTGTAACATCTTTTATCTGAACAAGAATAGAAAAGGACACAAAACATGCTGCATCAGACATGTCACAATGAAGCTTGGTAACAGAATCTCCACGCCCAAGCTCTTCAGGAAATCCATAAGCAATATATGTCTTCGGCCCAATGTCTGTCTTAAAAAATTTCTGAGGCAACCTGACAGCAAGGTTTAAAGGTCCACTGTGAGGATGGGTATACTCCTTAAAGGGCAAACAACATGTAAATGCAGCATCATGTCGTGGCAAACTTTCACCAAATATTTCAAAGGGGGCCAGTCTTTCAGCTTCAGTAACTGAAAAAAACAAAAAGATGGGCTAGTATCAAATCTTCCCTAGAAAATGATAAGGTGGGAAACATTTATATCTAGATAAGAACTTACCAGAACGTGCTCTTATCTGTAGGGCATCTACAATTTTCTATTGTCAGCCTGCAGGAGGTACACCTGTAGAAGCTAAACTATTAGTTTTCTGACAAATAACAAAGCCAACACTCTATTCACACGCACAAGCAACCATCAGCCAACCAATCTTTTGTTAATGCAATGATTAATTTGAAAGCAACTGCAAGTACAACTAAAAGAAAGGTCTCCATAATCAAGAAGCAAAACTCAAAACATAAGAAACAATGAGAAGATTTACTTTTAGAAAACAAATTAATGCAATGATTAATTTGAAAGCAACTGCAAGGACAACTAAAAGAGAGGTCTTCAATATCCAATCACGAAGCAAAACTCAAAACATAAGAGACAATGAGAACATTTACTGTTAGGAAACAAATCGTAACAAATAAGGAAAACTTACTGTAAGAATTGAATTTGACCATTAAACCAATAGACAATCATTTCATCCCATACAAGAAAAACCTTTTGTATACAAAACTCCATTTTTCTCCATTTCAGGCATACCTAAATGAAGACTGTTTTGAAATTTAAACAGAATAAGTGAAAAATTTTATTGCTTATGAAATTAATTTTAAATATTTGGAACAAAAGAATATCCCTGATCCTAGCGTCAATCTCTCTCTCCATCATTTGTTCTTCATCTAACTGCTTCAGAAATGGAACAAGAGTGCAAAGTAAAAACTTAGAGTACTGCACTTCTTCTTCTTTGCTTACTTACAGGTTTAAATTTTTCAGGTCATGCAGTAACTAACAAAAGGTAAAATTATTACAGCTCACACTTGCAATAAAAAACATTAAGAATACACATTGAAGCATGAACTGCAAGGTTAGAGACATGCTTTCAATGATGCATCTAGACACAAACAACATTTACAGTTGCATATTCCAAAACAAACTGGACAAGCAATTGCCATATCATCATCCTCTGTCATCTTAGGATACCTACAACATAAACAGAGCGTTTCTTAAGTAACAAAATCAATGGTAGAAAGATTTATGGATAGGCATTTTTGAGATGATTCAAAACATTCAAGAAAACAAGTCTAAGCTATACCATTCTCTTGTTAATGGTCCAAGCAAGTTCAAAAAATTCAAAACAGTGTATCATATGCTAATTTACACGTATTCACAATATAATGTTATAATGTTGTCAATGAGTTGGATTAAAGTTGGACTAGATCTATCAGTAAAAACAGATCATGCAAGATACCACATGTTCTAACAATTAACTATTTCCTCTATAGAATTAAATTTAGAAAACAAAATAACTCTTCAATAAAAGAAAAGAAACACATAAATTTACTACATTATAACATATCGTAAGCACATGGATGCAAACAAACATGCATGAGAAAAAGAGAGCACAAGCAAAGTAATTACATATAAATTCATAAAATGTGCAGCAAATAGTAGAATTAACAACAAAACCAGTGTCTTCAAAATGCATAACTGAAAGTTAATTTGGATTGAATAATATCAATCTTGACAAAAAAATTATAATTCTTTCAGTTGGGAAATAATGCAAATAATCCTAAATTATACCATTTCGTCAAGCAGGGGATGCAATAGCGCTTCCTTTTACATTTCAGGCACCAAACAACATGGCCATTATCACTTTTGTGGCATTGGTGGCACATTAAACGAACTTCCTCAGTGAACTGCAAATCTGAATTCAGGAACATAAGCAACCATTAATAGCCAAACAGGCAATGTTAATCGTAAATCAAAGACAATTAGTTACCTGACTAGTGCGCTTTGATTTGCTGCCCTGCCCAACTTGCTCTTTCCAAGTCCTAGGCCCATAACCTGTGCCAGAGCTCATCATCAAAGAATTTCCTTCTCTTTCACCACACCACTCCTTTAGTATTCTCCTAACAATCTCGTCTCCATCACTGCATATCCACTGAGACCCTCCGTTCCCAGGTCCGGCTCCACTCTTTGCTTTCTTGTCCTCAGCGTCCATCTCCTTCTTGTGCTGCTCCGGTTTTTGGCCAGGTTTGCGCCTCGGCGAGATGAGCTTCATGGTTAAATCAGAAAGAGAAGGTGCCGGTAGCTGACCTGACTCGGTGTCCGCTGAGTCATCATCCAAGTCGGGTTCCGAGTTGGGCTTTGCAGGTTTGGAGGGCAGGTCGGGTTTCTCTTTCCCCGCCGCTTCTTCTTCGTCGTCGTCGTCTTCACTGCCATCTTCGTCATTGTTTTATTTCTCACCGGCGCCGTTTTCCTTGGTTTCGACAGTGCCATATTCTTGTTCTTCTTCCTCAACGGTTTCTTCTTCTTCGGAACATGAAACGGCAGGTGAGGGGCCTTCCATAAGGCGCTTTCAAGCCATTTTTAGGGTTTAACATATATATATATATATATATATATATATAGATATATAGTGTGTGTGAGAGAGAGGCTGGTCGCCTTGTAAGTCTGTAAAAGAACCACCTAAATGAAGAAAAAAGTTGAAGGGTAATGTTAAAATTATTTTAACACTATGGGGACGAGATATAAAAGTTCAAAGCATGGTAGCATACGGTTCTGTACCAGAATGGGTTTCTAACTGGGCCTAGTATTGGAATATACAATTAAATTTGTTTGAATATTGGCCCTAATATTTAATATTTGAATCCAAGACTCGGTTTATTTGGTGAAAAACAATTTTTATAGGATCAATTTCTAAAAAAGTTATTTTTTAAAAAATTATTTTTCAAAAAAATATTTTTTTCATTTAGTAATTACATAAAAAAAATTATTGAAAAATATATTCTACTCGCTTATTTGATACGGAAAATAAAAATACAAAACTAATATGTGATTGTTACATCAATAAGTTTTGAGAAAACTTCAAAAAGCAATATTCAAAATTTCACAATATATGATACATTTAGAAAAATTTAATAATTTTTATAAATACTAACTCTAAAATTTTAATTCAAAAAATATAAAATGTACTTTTTTAACTATCAAACCAATTTATCAAAATTACTTGGGACAAAATCAAGTCAATATTCACATTTAGTATAAAAAAATTCTAAGTAATCCTAGCATTGCTATTTTGGTAACTCAATTAAGAATTTTTTTTAGAAATTGAACTCGATAATTTAGTTGAAAAAATAATTTTATAAATTATTAGTTATCATTTGTAGATAATTATTCATTTGGTTTCAAAAGATTAATGTTAGAATAATTTGTAACTAATTATTCACTACAAATACCAACAAAATTTTACATCCGATTAAAATTACAAATTATTGTTTTAGTTGCAAAAGAATAGTATTGAAAAAATAATATATTTATTAATGAATTAATGAATTTTAATTTTTTTACAAAAAATTATAGTCTTGTGATAATCATTTCCAATCATTTAAGTATAGTGTAAGTGGTGCTTGAGAAAATAGTAAAAAAATAAAGATAAATTATTGAAATATTTATTATAAAAATAATTTTAAGATATAAAAATGATTTTTAAGAATATTTAATGTATCTATAAATCAAAAAATCAAATATTCATAGAAATAGAGAAAAATAATTAAATAATAAATAATAATTGATAAGGAATAATTAAAAATTAATTTGATATGTTTTAAATAAAAAAATATAAAAAAAATGTTAAAATATATCGAAAGAGAGGCAAGTAACACAAGAGTGAGACAGTTTATGAGTAAAAAAAAAATGTTTTTTTTTTTAAATTGAAAAAATATTTTTTCAAAAATACTCTTAAAAATCATTTTATGTTGACTTTTTTTTTAAAACGTAAAACAAATACTAAAAAATTTCCTCCACTCAAACACAGCCCAAAAAATGAGCAAACTTTCTTTCTTATCAAATCAATCCCTCGAAATTATCACTTATTCAGTTGCAGACTTGCATCTTTTGTAGTAAATGAATTTGATCCTTTTGTAAATTACATATAATTGGATTCACCAAGAAAACAGTGAACGTGTAAGCACATGGTTGAAAGGCAGGTCAACCTAAAAGACTTGACGCTCTTGGATTTAATTAGCACCACCATTAAATTAAGATGCAATTAACTTGTTATATTTGTATTATTCAACCATACGTATTTTCTAAGTTTTTTATGAGTTGGAAATTAGTAGTTAATTGTCTTTAATCGGAAAATATAATAATTGATTAATGGTGAAAAGTAAAATTACGTCATGTCATTGGCGTAATTTTACTTTTGGTATACTAATTATTAGTAGTTGCATATTGAACAACATTGACAAAACTTCAACTTTACGGTAGGGGTGAACAAACGGTTCGGTTAACCTAAAATCGAATCAAATCGAATTGAATTATGTATTTTGGTTCGATTTTAAAATTAAATTTATTAAATTAAAAACCAAACCAAAAAACCAAAATTATTTCGGTTCGATTCGGTTTTTTAAAAAAAAATTGGTTTTCACGGAAAATCGAAAAAATTAAAAGTAAAAAAAAAAAAAAAGAGATTCATAAATGCTAACTCCTTAAAACCCTAACCGGCTAACTTCACTAAATCAAAATCAATGTTCGGCGACGCCTCCCTAGCTCCCCATCCTTCACTCTATCTTCTCCGGTTCTCCTTCATCATCACTTCATCGGGCATTCTACCTCGACGAAGACGACAGATCGGCAACGGTAACACACCGAACACCCACCTCTCTTTTGCTCTCTGTTCTCTTCCTCCAATTTCACCGGTCGCCACCCACCTCTCCATCATCCTCGCTCCGATCTCACAGTCATGGTCATCATTCATCCGTCACCATCCAATCACCCTCCACCCTTTTCCTCCTACAATTTCGTGGAGCACCTTATCACCGAGTGGATTGCTTGAAATAAATGCGCCAGCGACCTAGGTCACAGTGGGGATGGGTATTCCTCTTTGGCAAATTTCGGGTATGAAACTAATGGATCCACAATTTTAACAAGGCATTTTCCTTTAACCATTAAACATATGTTCTTTGGTATTGTTATTTACACTTCTTATTTAATTAGAGATAAGATGATTTTATGGAATGGAACGTGGTGGAGGTTACGATGCATGGAGGAAAACTTCATTGGTTGCCACCCTTTTTATTTTGACCGGGTAGAGTCCATAAAGCCAAAGGGTCATTGTGTTTGTGTAGTCGTGCGTGTGACGAGTGAGGACCCGGATGATGGGTTTAAGCCTATAAAAAGGAAAAGTAAAGTTAAGCCTCTTGGGCTCTTGATCGATCATACACGAAGCTCATTAATTTGTTATACACCCATATTGAGTTACATGACCTTGTTATAGGAACTAAGTTTTAAAAGCAAGCCAAATGTGTGAGCTTACTTCTCGTTATGGTACTTTTTATTGTCTATCTTTTGATTTTCTTAAAATAATTCTATTGACAGAACCTTGGTTTTTCTAACTTAATGATTTGAATTATCATCCGTAGTCCGGAGGAGGCATTCATGAATTCTAAGATTCTTAATTTGGTCGGATATTAACTAAAAAAATTAAATAAAGTAGATGCAAGTTGATGACTAACTGCAATCAATTGTCTTTTACAAGTTTGGTTGTTTCTTTGCAAGACAATCAAATGAAATTAACTTGCTCGTTGCAAGATGGTTTAGGTCTCTGTGAGCTTGAATTTTGCAAATTGAAAGAAAGTCTGTTTTAATTTCTTTTCTACTCGCATAAGATTGCTAATGGAAATTTTCCGGAATACATTTTTTAGTTGGAATGATGATTGTAAAATTATTGGGGATGTTATATATATTGGTAACCTTTGCCTTGCTTTATATATCTTGTTATGATAGTGATTGATGTTAGAAAATTATAATCTTCAACGGTGACTAGTTCGGTCTAACATTTTGTTTCCTGCAATTCATTCCTAATGGCTTTTTAGCAAGATAAGCAAGGAGATCATGTAGGTCAAATTAAGAATTAGGATGTTGCCTTTATAGACTTTCTTGGTGTAGGAATATCTTAATTATGAAAGATATTATTTAAGCTTTAGTTTTATCATCACGATGAGCATAATCTTGGGTATCATCTTTTAATTTTTCTAATTAAAATAATATTAGTCGGATGTCTAGTTCATAAATATTTAGCAATGCTTGATGAGTTCGGAAGAAGCAAAAGAAGAAAGACAACTACATTTTTTTTCTTCTCTCATTTAGGACTTTCGATGTAGCTAACCGTAATTAGGTAGCTACAAAAGCTATTTCCTATGCAAGGGCTTTGTTTTCTTATTGTCTTTTTTTTTTTTTTTTAATAGTAAATGGTGAAAATGATGGTGGCTTAGGACAAACAATGAAACGATGGTCCGGAATTTTTTTTCAGCAAAACATGTAGGTTAAAATCGAAATATTTTGAAACCGAACCAAAATAATTTGGTTACAAACCGAATTTATTTCGGTTCATTTTTTGTTTTTATTTTCCTTGATTCGGTTAATCGAAAACCGAACCGAATCATATAAAACCCAACCATTTAACCGTTTGCTCACTCCTATTTTCCGGTGTAGCATAGGTAGCTCGAGCACGGGAGTTTTTCCTAAATGAGGTTGTACTTCCATCGTTGGGATTCTTGTTAAAGAATGCCTATTTATATTCTGCTGGTTAACAAATGATGCATTAATTGTGATAGAAAATTGGTAGTAGGAAATTAGTGCATTAATTCATGATAAAAAAGACTACCTATTTATACTATTTGGTAGGACCAATATAGATACTATAATCTGTCAATTTCCTAACGAGTCCACCACTAATTGGAAATATATGAGTGCAATTTGCCGACCATCAACTTTTTGTAATTTCTATACCATGCTAAATTTGAGTCCGAGCAATTTCTTAATAAGGAGAAGCCAAAGGGCAAGAAACAATAAGGGCGGGGTTTCTTCATACTCTTTCATAGGATTCAAAGCGTTAAAAAAAAATAATAAAATCTATAATACAGGACAAAATGATTTGTGAAAGGCCATTTTTAGATTTTTTTTTCTTTCACACATACCACCGAATATCGTTGTCCGATAACGACAACGATTTAATTCCGTGATCCATGAAAAAATAGGGAATCATATCTTCTCAATTGGGCATAAAATGCTCAACAATTGTGCGAGTTATTACATAAATATGAAGAACCGAGCATAGGACTTGGGCGTCGCCATGCGGAGGCTTATAAAAATCTTTAATAATATTTCAATTAATTCCGAAAATTTAAGTGTATGAAATTAAAATAAATTTGGGAATTTTCAATTTTACTATATATTTTGTAGTATTTAACACCAATTTTAGAAATATATTTGACTTTAATCAATAAAAAAGAATTATTTATTTCACAAATTAAGATATCTAAAGAAGAATAAATAATCGAAAAAAAAAAACCGATGTTAAAAAGATACTAAAATGACTCGTATTTGAAGGATTTTTAAGGTAAATATATTCATTTATCTTTATATAATATTAAAAGTTTTTCATACGTCATTAAGTTTTTAATTACATTCTATTTGTATCCGAAAGTGTTTGAAATGTTCAGTTTATCCTTTCGATCATTTTTTCAATGCATATGAAAGTTTTTTGACCAAAATGCCTCTAATTGAAATGCAAGGAAAAAAATTCTAAAGACTTCAAAGATAAAACAAGTAGATCAATTGACTTTAAGTGTTTTTTTTCTTTTCTCATTTTAGTAAAGGGTATTTCGGTAAAAAAATTATAGTCGAAAAATTTGACCGATATAATAAATTGAACATTTCAAAATTTTTCAAGAACAAATAGGATGCAATTAGAAATCTAAAAATAAATGAGAGACTTTAAGTAGTGTATAAAAATAAATTGATATATTTAGCGGAATTTTTAATTTAGTTAATGAGTTCATAGTTGTTTATTATAAAACCGATTATTCTTTAGTTGATAGTTAAAACTCTCATTTTTTTATTTCGCATCTACATAAGTTTGAACATTAAATTCCATTATTTTAAATATAATTATAACTTTCAATAGGAATATGATAAGATCAACCAAAAAATTATTGACATATCTATAATTTTAAAAGAATAAGGAATCACATGTTATTTATATATTGATAAATCGTAATGAATTTTAAAGCAAGGCATAATCAATAAAAATTTAATAGACTCTAAATCTGAATCTAGTGCTTGTATTTTTATTTATTTATTATTATTTATATTTTGGGTTCAATTGCTTTATGATTTTTAGGATCCAACATCCTTCAATTCTCAATTTTAAATCCAACAACATAAAAAATACTTCCCCTTTCATTAACCATTTTTTAATTTCTAAGACAAATATTGAAAATTCTTGCATATTTAATTGGGTAGACTTGACATCTAAACCTTCCTAATTAGGTTTGTAAGCTCTAGATTAGCATTGATATGTTTACTTCCTTGATGGTACAAATCAAAACAGCTATATATAACCAAAAGTGCAAATGTAAGTCCCAAATTTTTGCTTTAAATATCTTCTATCTTTTACACAAGAGTTGTCTCATTCTCCTCTCAATCTCTCTCTTTCTCAATACTTCTTGGCTTCCTTCCCTTTTTGTTCATTCCATGGAACTACTTTGTAACTTGTTTTATGAGATGAAGCCTCGCCTTTCCTATGATGGTTGTTCAAATTATATATTGTTGGACTTGATATGCTTTATAAATTGGCGACAAATGATGGAATAAGCTTGAAGATTATTGTAGGCTATACGTTCATATTGTCACTCTTTCATAGTCCCTCTTGTAATTATCTTTGAAAGATTGATAATTTTGTATTTTTATTTTTATTTTTTATTTTTTATCTTTTAATGGTTAATGATCCAATAAATCCTAACAAATGCACTAGATCGTATCAAGTAATAAAGCAAAGGATTCAAGTATTGAATCCCAAATGATTAATTATCTAAATACCATAATTATATAACTTCTTATATAAAGTTAAACAAATGGAAATAAAATAAATTTCTATCTAAACAACAAACTATCAAAGCAAAATAATAAGGCCTTTTGAATACTATAATTATATAACTTCTTAATTGGCGTAGGTGGGGCAATGCTTCTAACTTTTTTATCAACGGCCAAAGAGTAATATCCGATCAACACGGAGTTAACCTTTTGAATCATAGTCGGCCGCATGGAGGCCACGTGGCTCCATCTTGTGATGTGAGTGCCTTGGGCTCTTTGTTGGTTGTAATCAAGTAGTGTGTTTGTATCGAGAAAAATTCTCTAATTATTAGAGCTCTCGAGGAAAAAAAAAAAGGGGGAGGGGGGGGTTTAACACATTTAACAAGGAAATTATGAAAATATGATTTCCCTTTTCTTATAATCAATTAGAGTAAATTATAAATTAGTCCCTCTAGTTTCAAAAAATAAATTAATTAGTCTCCTTTATTTAAAAACTAATTATTTAGTTTTATATTTTTAAATTTTCTTATAACTTAATATGTTTATTCTTTTTTAATTTAAATTATTTTTATTTTAAGAAATAGAAAAAAATAGGTAAAATATATAAAAGGATTGATGAGATAGACATTTTTTAAAATAAACAATATTAAACATTTATCAAGGGACTAAATAATTGATTTTAAAACAAGAAAGATTAATTAATTTGTTTCTTAAAACTAGAGGGACTAACTTATAATTTACTTCATTAATTCTATACCATATATTTTTTAATAATTATAAATTATATGTATATATAATTAGTTGATTTTTTTTTTTTTGGAAAGAAGCTAAAATGAGAATAAGATATTAAATTTTATAATATATAACTAGTCTACATATATAGTAGTTAATCCATGAATTCATTTTTGAAGAAATAGATAGACACATAACAAAAAAAAAAAAAATAGAGAGAGAATCACATCTACATCTACCAAACGTGAAAAAAAGATTTTCACCTTAGTGACGGATTAGAGTGTCTATCTTTTGTGTCTATCTATCTCTCTCTATGGAGTAACTTATACTAGTTACTCCTTGAATAAATTTCTCCATATTCAATTACAAAAAACTATCAAATAGTGACGACATTCAGCGACGAATTAGAGTCTACTGCTAAATAACGACGAATCAACAAAAGAATTGCGACTGTTGTCGATGTGTGGATCTCAGTTACAGAATGCCGACAGATTAGCGACTGAAAATGATGATTTAGCAACAGAAAATTTCGTTGCTATTTTTACTGTTTTCTTGTAGTGAATTAGACTTCTCACCATAGCTTATTTGGTGAATTAATTTATATTAAGGCAAAGGTGATTGTTTTTGTATCTAAAGAAATTGTTTGGGTAAAATATGAAATACGCTCTTGAATATAAGCCGAAAAAAAAATTCCTCTTTAAAAAATATGATTTTTTTAAATATGTTTCTTCTATTAGAATTCCGTTAAGAAATTGATGAAAAACTATAAAATCCTTCTAATTCCTATTATTTTCTATACCAATTTAGGAAAATAGGTTTACTAATAGCAAAAAGATAGGGACTAAATTATATTTATTGTAAATATACAATGACAAAAAAGCTTTCGATGAAAAATTTAACTGTTAGAAAAGGAAAGGAATTTAAACGAGCCGATCCCCTTCTCAGTCACAAGATGGGCAGTTCTCACACACTTTTTTTTTTAAAAAAAAAGGCTCGAAAACGCCTTATGGAAGACCCCACACCTGCCACTTCTTCTCCAAGAATAAGAAACCGATAACGAAGAAGAACAATAACACAGCACTGTTGAAACCAAGCAAAATAATACCGGTGAGAAACAAGACAATAACGAAGATGGCAGTGAAGACGACGACGATGACAACAACGAAAAAGCCGGGGAAAAAAACCGGACCTGCCCTCCAAACCTTCAAAGACCGACTCGGAATCCGAATTGGATGATGACTCAGCAGACACTGAGTTAGGTCAGCCACCATCACCTTCTCTTTCTGATTTAGCCATCAAGCTCATCTCGCCGAAGCGCAAACCTGGCCCAAAACAGGAGTAGCCCAAGAAGGAGAAGGACACTGAGGACAAGAAAGCAAAGAGGGGAGCCGGACCTATTAAAAAGAAACCTAAGCTTGTGGTATCTGCAGAATAAAAGCAATTAAAACATGGCTTTATAAGTCAACTGTTAAAAAAAAACCTCAAAGAACAACTAAACATAGCACACTAAAATTGAAATCTATGTTGTCCTAACTTTTATTATGGAGTTCACCTTTCAGCTTTTCCAGATAGACATGTCACACTTATTGATTTCTAACCTTCCATTCTTTTTCTGTCACTAGTATAACTTCTTTTATCTGAACAAGAATAGAGAAGGACACTAAACATACCGCATCAGACATGTCACAATGAAGCTTGGTAACAGAATCTCCACGCCCAAGCTCTTCAGGAAATTCATAAGCAATGTATGTCTTTGGCCCAATGTCTGTCTTAAAAAATTTCTAAAAACATTTCTGAGGCAACCTGACAGCAAGGTTTAAAGGTCCACCGTGAGGATGGGTATACTCCGTAAAGAGCAAACAATAAGTAAATGCAGCATCATGTCGTGGCAAACTTTCAACAAATGTTTTAAAGTGGGCTAGTCTTTCAGCTTCAGTAACTGAGGCCAATTTTTACCATCAAATCTTCCTTCCGTGTAACCGGTAACAAATTTATGGACATTAATATCTACCTGCATTCATCGAGAATTGAGCTTCACAATAAATATCATAACATGTGATAACATATCAATAAGGGTTGCACGCATGGTTAACAAGATAAATGGAGAATGATCACAGCCATAATTATTAGAAAATATCATCAAAATCAAACAGTATAAGTTGGCAACATTTTGCCTTCAATGTACAGCTTAAAAAAAAGAGGGTAAATATACTGACCTCACAGCAATCCAAACAGTCAATTGCCTTTACATCCAAAAGCATACCATGTTTTTCATGTTTGATCTGACGGAAGATGACCATTGGCTCCCAACTTAAACCAGACGCAGTTTCAAGCACATTGCTAACAATCACAGGCTCAGCTATCTTCCAATGAAACTGAAAATGTTTCAAGTCATCCATGGTGATATATGTGGCTTTTGGATAGAAAAATGATTATCATCAGAATCTTCTCGACATGCCCTTTTAATAACTTGTTACTATTACCGATATCAAGATTGCCATTGGAATCAAAACATGCACATGGTTCAGCAGGGGCATTAGCATAGTTGATTTCACAATTTTTGAACATATCTTCAACTTTCTTTACCAACTCTAAAACTGAAACTGCAAAATTAACTTCTGTGTTTGGGAACATTTTAGTTGTAAATTGTCACTACCACAAATCTTTCGTTAATGCAATGATTAATTTGAAAGCAACTGCAAGTACAACTAAAAGAAAGGTCTTCAATATCCAATCAAGAAGCAAAACTCAAAACATAAGAAACAATGAGAAGATTTACTGTTAGAAAACAAATCGTAACAAATAAGGAAAACTTATTGTAAGAATTGGGAATTTGACCATTAAACCAATAGACAATCATTTCATCCCATACAAGAAACACCTTTTGTATACAAAAACTCCATTTTTCTCCATTTCAGGCATACCTAAATGAAGACTATTTCGAAATTTAAACAGAATGGGTGAAAAACTATGTTGCTTATGAAAATTAATTTTAAATACTTAGAACAAAAGAATACCCCTTATCCTAGCGTCAATCTCTCTCTCCATCATTTGTTCTTAATCTAACTGCTTCAGAAATGGAAGAAGTAAAAACTTAGAGTACTGCAGCACTTCTTCTTCTTTGCTTACTTCCAGGTTTAAACTTTTCCTGCAATAAATAACAAGAGGTAAAATTATCACATCTCACACTAGGAATAAAAAACATTAAGAATACACGTTGAAGCGTGAACTGCAAGGTTAGAGACATACTTTCAATGGTGCATCTAGTCGCAAACAAGATCTACAGTTGCATATTCCAAGACAAGCTGGATATCCTCTGTCATCTTAGGATACCTACAACATAAACAAAGTGTTTCTTAAGTAAAAAAATCAATGGTAGAAAGATTTAAGGATAGGCATTTTTGAGATGATTCAAAACATTCACGAAAACATGTCTAAGCTACACCATTCTCTTGTTAATGGTCCAAGCAAGTTCAAAAACTTCAAAACAATGTATCATATGCTAATTTACACATATTCTCAATATAATGTTGTCAATGAGTTAGATTAAAGGTGGACTAGGTCTATCAGAAAACTGACGAATGGAAGCACAAAAGTGCTTCCTTCACAAATCTATAGAAATCACGGGTATCCACAAATAGCCTTTTCCCCCTCTCATTTTGGTACTCAACTATACCATTTAATATAACAACCTCATCTCCATCACTGCATATCCGCTGAGACCCTCCGTTACCAGGTCTGGCTCCCCTCTTTGCTTTCTTGTCCTCGGTTTCCTTTTCCTTCTTGGGCTGCTCCGGTTTTTGGCCAGGTTTGCGCTTCGACGAGATGAGCCTTATGGTTAAATCAGAAAGAGAAGGTGGCGGTAGCTGATCTGACTCGATGTCCGCTGAGTCATCATCCGAGTCGGATTCCGAGTTGGGCTTTGCAGGTTCGGAGTGCAGGTCGGGTTTCCCTTTCCTCGCTTTGTCGTCGCCGTCATCGTCCTCACTGCCATCTTTGTCATTGTCTTATTTCTCACCGATGCCGTTTAGCTTGGTTTCGACAGTGCCATGTTGTTGTTCTTCTTCGGAAGATGAAACGGCAGGTGAGAGGCCCTCCATAAGACGCTTTCAAGCCATTTTTAGGGTTTATATCTATATATATATATATATTTTTCTGTGAGAGACTGCTGCCCTTGTGAGTCGGCAAAAGGACCACCTAAATGAAGAAAAAAGTAGAAGGGTAATGTTAAAATTATTTTAATACTATGGGGACCAGATATAAAAGTTCAAAGCATAGTAGCATACGGTTCTGTACCAGAATCGGTCACTGGAATGGGTTTCTAACTGGGCCTAATATTTGAATATATAATTAAATTTTTTTGAATATTGGCCCTAATATTTGAATCCAAAAAATGAGCAAACTTTCTTCCCTATCAAATCAATCCCTCGAAATTATCACTCATTCAGTTGCATACTTGCATCTTTTGTAGTAAATGAATTTGATCCTTTTGTAAATTAAATATAATTGGATTCACCAAGAAAACAGTGAACGCATAAGCACATGGTTGAAAGGCAGGTCAGCCTAAAAGACTCGACGCTCTTGGGTTTCAAGAATTTAATTAGCACCACCATTAAATTAAGATGCAATTAACTTGTTATATTTGTATTATTCAACTATATATATTTCCTACTTTTTAGACATTGGAAATTAGTAGTTAATTGTCATTAATTAGAAAATATAATAACTGATTAATTGTGAGAGAAAAATTACGTCATATCATTGGCTATAGGGACGGCAATGGGAAGGGACGAGGGCAAGAATGGCCATCCCCGTTCCCGCCCCACCCCGGCCCATGCCTTATTCGAAATGATATTTCACATATCATCCCCTCCCTAAACGAGAGAGGACAGGACCCCATCATATTGCCATTCCTAGAGGCCATCCCCGCCCCACCTTAGAAAATATCACCCCATCCCTACCCCGTAATTTCTAAGAGGAGGAAATCAAGCACCAATCAGAAACTATACTTAGCTGAACTATGTAGCCAAAAGATATTATTAATAAGGTTTGTAATTTCTCATGAGCTATATTGTAGGAAATAATATAAGCTAATGTAGCACTTACCAAATTTATAAATAGTATTTAGAAAACAAGATCAAAAGAATCAATCTATTTAGCCAAGGCATTATCGTCATGAGATATTAACAAGCTTTGGACGCCGGGTGTTTTGATCCACCTCCACTCTGAGACCAAGTCCAGCCAGTTCAGGCATATCAACTGACCCTTGAAGCTCCAATTCAGCAACCGCCTGTTGGTTTTCTGAATTCCCTTCCAATAAGTTCCTCAAAGACCATATGCCCCACTCCCTTAAAAATGGGTTATCTTCATCTATAACGGCCTGTTGCAACATCAGAAGCATCCCATTCTTCTGCCTAATGTCATCTTGCACATGCTTTCTTTGGTAAGCGCAATTGCCAATGACAGCAACTAAATCTCTTCGAAATCCTTTATAAGGGCAGAATTTAGGAAAGTATGAACTAGTTGCTTCTTGGTTATTGGCTTGCTTCATGGCTTTCCTGATTATTGCCGGAGGCTCTAGGTCACGTAATAGGCATAAGAGCAAATCAAGAAGTCCAGATGACAAAAGTTTATCAACAACATCTACCAAATCCCCGTCTATGCCAACTCGAGCATTGGAAGCACATATATCTCTTAAAATGGTGAGGGAGTAACCAAGGACATCAATCACAGCAGACCCTGTTGGAAGTCCAGATTCGCCTCTTGAACCAAACTCAACAACTTCAACTGATTTCTTGAATATTTCAAGGATGCACAAAGCAAAATCGTTGAGAATGGTAATCTCCTTCAATCGCTCATTCAAAATCTCTGACACAATATTTAAAAGATATGCTTGCTCAGCCAAAAATGGATCGCCACTTAAACTAATTTCCTCTGCATTTTCACAATAACTACCAACACCATATAATCTTGAGAAGAGTCGAGGGAAGTGAATATCCTCTAAACAAATCCTAGAGAGAAGCAACTTCAGCCAATCTTGTCCAAAACCAACTGGTAAAACAGGAACCAAAAACAATCATAAATACAATTCAAATAAAAGGTGATAAGAGGAGGGGGGTTAAAAAAAAAAAACCTAAACACTATCATGATTGTGCAGAATAAACCAAAATTGTTACCTAAAGATGCAGTCCTAATAATTTCAGCAACAATTGGCAACCCTTGATCCCCACAAAGCTGTGAAACTAATTCAGGGCTTCCATCACAACAAGCATAAATAATCATACAAAGAGGATCACAAGTCCCCTGACTCCGAAATTTTGCAAGTACATACAACTCATCATGGAACAATCTACCCCAAATAGCTTGTTGGTGTTCTTTCCCAGCCAAAGAAACGTTCGCCAAAACCTGTAATCCTATACGAATAATCCCAAAATCTGGTTCCGAAGAGCCAACCCCTTTAGACCTCAAAACTGTCGAAAAAATCTCAACCCCATTCAATTCAATAAAAGACTTCTGATTTGCAACTTCTCCTGCACATAGGTTTCTTATGAGTCTTAAAGAGAGTGAGAGATATTCAGAACCAGAATCATCTTTTAGTAAATGGGTGATAAGCTGAAGGACAACCGGGAGAATCAACTTCGAACCAAGGTCTGCACGACCATCATCCGTTTTGGCAAATTCTATCAGAGTCTCTAACGTTTCTTTCAAATCACACGATTTTGAAGCAGTAAACAATGGCTCAAGGAAATCTTTTTGTGGATATGATAGTTCTGTTAATGATGAACCAGCCATTATTAATTTAGCGCAAAGCAATTTAATCCTGTACCAGTGTAGCAAATTTTTTCAGATAGAAATATAAAAACCCACCATATAAAACGCAAAAGATTTGGTAAAGCAAATAATGTTGATATAGCAATGAATAATCATATTTCCAAAACCAAAAAATCAGTTCTTTTCTTGCTCGAATACACCAATGGAAAAAAAAAAGCAAAGCCCAGAAAATTTAAACTTCAAAATTCATGAAGCTAAAGCACCAATAATAGCCAGTGAATTTTATTCATAAACAAAACTAGAAGAGAATACCAGCAACTAAACTTAGCCAAATTAATCAACTTTTTCAAACAAAGCAAAAGAAATTTCAGAAACCATACCGATAGCAAGGATATAATAACGAAAAGAATAGAAATTCCGGTTGTTTAAAATCCTAGTGACGACATTGAGAGAGGGTTTTTGGAGCATTACCTATAAAATGCAGAGATTTTTCTTCTTCCTGATGTAGGAAGCGGCAATAAAAAAAACCCTAGCTAAGCATTAACACTGCTCTGATGTTCAAATGAGGAGAAGAAGAAGAAAGTCGCCGACTTTTCCTTTTGTCTTGTCAGGTGGGAAGTTCTTTTTGTCTTCAAGGGAAGATTTTTGAAATTCTGGATTCGTGCCGATACTTGTAGAAGAAAACCAAATCCTAAAAGAAGAGGGTTTAAGCGTATAACTTTGGTCCCTGTACTCTTGATATTTTCTTAATATAACCCTTCTTTTCTTTGTTTCTATTTGACCTTTATACTATATAGAATTTTTAATATGGTCCCTCTATCGACCTTTCTTCCAATTTACCATTGATTCTTGATCTGTCAAAATTCAGACACGTTTCTAGCATATTCTGGGACATGCATCAATTATTAATAGTAAATTGTATGGAATTGGATGAAGGATCACATTAAGAATTTTGTCGTGTAAAAAAGAACCACCTAAAAGAAGAAAAAAGTTGAAGGGTAATATTAAAATTATTTTAATAGAATGGGGATTAGATATAAAAGTTCAAAGCATAGTAGCATTCGGGTCTGTACCAGAATTGGCCACTGGAATGGTTTCTAACTGGCCTAAAACAACTTTTTTCCCTTCTCTTCTTTTTGTTAAGATCCTCCTCTGTACCAGAATTCAATTTTTATTTAGCTAAAAACATCAAACCTTTTTTAACTATAATTTATTTAAAAAACAGTTTTTTACCTTTTAATTTCCTTAAACTTTATTTAAAAATTAATTTATCTAATGATTTTCAGCTATCATCTCCTTCCTTATATATATATATATATATAAATTCTTGTTATTTTAATCTAAAATTTCGCCGACATGTTGAAAAAATCTAATTTATTTTTAAAAAAAATTCTTAAATTTTTTAAATATTGGAAATTACATTTATTTATTTAGAGAGTTCAAGAAGGTCAGAAATTCTAAATGTAAAAAAAAAAAAAAAAAAAAAAAAACAAACCAATCCTAAATTATTTCAAATTTTTTAGAGAGTTTCAGACAAATCTTACTAAATGATTTCATTTCTATAAGAAGTTATTTATATATGTAATTATTATTTTTTTTAGATAAAAAATAAAAATATTGAAGAATGAACTAAATTTTAAAAAAATTAAAAAGTTCAAAACATAAATTACAAATTAAAGTTTAGAGGAGGACTGAACCCCAGTAGCCTTTTTATTTTTCTTACCACGAACGGAGATGAAAAAAGTGGCTGGTGGCTTTCTGGTCGGTGGTTGCTTGGTCAGTGGTCCTTTTTTTTTTTTTTTTGGTTAACTGTTTGCTACTTTGCCTTGCTGGTGGATTTTCCCGTTGTGGTGGCTACTTAGCTGGTGGATGGTCGCTTGGATGGTGGCCGGTGGTTGTTTTGGCTCTGCATGCGTGCACAAGTAGTATGGATGGCAGATACCATTGCCGACAATAGCTCCTGCGTAAGGGAGAAAAGAAGCTGTGAATATCACAAATTTGTTCATTGATTTGCAGGTCTAATTACAGTTATAGGAGGAACGTTCTTGAGAAGATTGAGCTTGGAAAAATTTATGTGTGGAGGTTTTTCTGTGCAACAATTACTGTTAACTTTGGTGACCAAATTCCATCGAGGAACTCGCAGGCCTGATGTTCAGAACTTGCACTTGCCAACCAGCCAAACCAACTTTTTTCAAACGAATTTGCCAGGTATTTTAATAGCAATAAACCTTAATGATTTGATCCAGCTCAATGTTGAGAACTTGGCTGAACTTTATTTCACTAACTCCATCCTTGTTCAAATTTCAGCAATGGAACAAAAAAAGTTACATGTGATAAGGATAAAGCTCATCATATACATAAGGGATTGAATCCTAATCTAATCAATTAGTTACACAAGTGCACATCAATTCACTCATGTAATCTGTATAAATATTCAAACGTCACTACTGGAAAAATCGCTTTTAGCGACTGTGTAAACAAAAAACCATTGGTAATAGTAATTTGCGATGGTCTAAACCCGTCCAGAAAAACCTTCTCGTTAAAAATTTTGCGATGGTTTATTATAAACCATTGCTAAATAATCATAAAAATCGTTGCTTAATAGTGTTTAGAAGGTCGTTAATTTAGCGACGGTTATACAAAACTCGTTGCTAAATCGTTACTAATTAGCGATCGTTTATAAAAACAATCGCTAACTATGGCCAAATTTTACATCATTTTTAACGATGGTTTTTAAACAATCGCTAAGTTTTTTTTATTTTAGATATTTTTCAGTTAATTATTTAATTATTCACATGTCGCTAATAAAAAATATAAAATTCAATCCAATTTAACAACTACAATAACGATATAAAATAAATTTATAAATATTACAAAACCTTTTTAATATATAAAATTTAATTAAATCAAATATATGTTCAAACACCAAATTATATTTAAGTTTATTAATTTTTTCGCTAAAAAAAACATAAAAGTGATATATATATATATATATATAGTGATGAAGGGAATACGTGTCATGACATATTATCATTTTCATCGTACACATGATGGTCGATTGGAGGATCGATGGATGAACTGCTTTTTGCATATTCAATAACATCTGTCGCATCATCGAATGTTGCTCCTAAGTATACTCCTCCAATCGCCTTTGACCTTCTAGGAGTAATATAACGAGTACCCTCTAGTATACGAATCTTTTCTTCATGTTTGGAAGTATTAGCCTCTATTTCCTTTCAATGTGCCTCAATATCGATATGAAATCGTGATATAGCCAAACTAGAAGATGTATTGGCATTAGAATAATAGTGAGAGGCTTGTGATCTAAGTCCATTCATCCTCTTTCTTTTACTTGTCTTCTTCTCCAATAGCCCTCTTAAAAATCTCGTTCAATTTGATGTTAGGCGATGAAGTACCCTTTGCCTCCCAGCCTAGTAACCTCCTTGTCAAATATTTTCTCGACGAGTCTCCTATATCATTGCATAAATTTTAATATTAAATAGTTATCTCAATAAGTTATATAAAATTGTTATATGTATGAAATAAGCTTATAAATTACTTACTATAGAATTTTTTACTTGTTGATCGATGAATACATACTTATCATCAACCTTTTTCCTATGAGTCATCAAGAACACCTCGTGAGCATCGGGTTCATGACCCAACTCTTGACACTTGAAATAAATATACTTGAATATTTATTAATGTTGCAATAATTATAAATAACAAATAATATATATATATATATATATATATATATATATATATATATATATATATATATATATGGCATCAAATCACAAGTTTTCAAATATCTTGAAGGTAAGAAATAAATAAAATCAAAATATTTTGAGGCAAGACTATCCTTTAAAACCTAATTTTTCAAAATACTTTCTGTTTAAGCCTTTCTATTTTCTAGAATAGACTTATCTTTTGGTAATTTGCCTTCAATAACATCAAAAACTATTTTTTTTCTAAAATCTTGCATTGCCTAAACATATTGTACTCATCTAGCCTAAGACAATAATCACCTCTTGGAAATTACATATTACCATTTGAAAATAATGTTTTGATTTTTAACCAATTAACTTGAATATCTTCATGAATAAAATTACTTTCATTTGAACATAGCTATTTTTTTTCAAATAATTTGAATTGTTTTTAGAATAATTATTTAAGTTCACGACTTAATCTATGAAGAAAATCAAATTTTTATTCAAATATTTTTTCTTAAAATGTGATGAAAATTTCAAGACCAATTGCAATTTGAGATAAAAGCATCAAAGATGAAAATTGAGCACATATTAATTGTGCAAAGAGAGCAATAAATGTATGATCTCAATCAATACTTAGAGGCATGCCATAATCCAATCCGAATAGTAATCTATAAAATTGATAATACTTAGAGGCAATGTCAACAATCTTACAACTCAAATTGCATCCAAAAATGTGTCAAACAACACTCTTGGACCCGATAAAATCCAAGCATAACTTCATCAAGTCGACCAAAGGAATGAGGGCTTGAATAATATGCTTTTGAGCATTAATCAAAGTAACAAAAAAAATCAAATTATGAGGCAAAAAAGCACTCTCAAGATAGAATGGCAACTCAACAAGAGATCGAATAGCAATCAAAATGGTTGGGAACAACCAAGCCGTGAGAATAGATCACAATAAAAGAATGGTTATCACCTTTCAAGGTTCGAAAGAATTATTCACCTTGATAGGATCCTAAAATAGTTTGTGTAACATGAGAAGGCAAAGACTCAAATTTAAGAAGAGATAAAAAAATGGATAGCAAAGAACCGAACTACTATCAGAACTAGTAGGTAATAAGATTATGTCAATGCCACAAGATTGATTTAGTATGAAAAAGAAGAAGTCGGATAGTAAAAAAGAAGAAACTAGTGGAGGAGGTTGAGTACTTACAAAGCAGAGTAAATTATATTTCTCACATGTAAGAAACTAACAATTGCAATTAATCTCATTGATATATTTCAAGAATATCATCTCAAATGTCAAGACAAGGGAGTTATCCCTACCATAAAATTTGAAAGTCATAGAATCATGAGGAGCTCACGTTCTCCGAATCATTTAGGTAGTGTTGTCTAATAATAGATCAACATTCGGGTAGGATCGCCTAACAATAAACTAATATTTAGGTAGGTTTTCCTAATAATAGATTATTATTTTAGGCAAAGTCACCTAGCAATAGACCATCATCTCGGGTAGGGTTGCCTAATTTAGTTCATCACTTTTAGGTGAAAGATCATGCATCCTATGGAAGTGCGAAATAAAACAAAAATTTGCATCCATCTAAGGCTCTCAATATCAAGTCGTTGAATCAACTAATCATATATAAATGAATTAAAATCATGAGTAAAAGATTACCTCTTATAGTGTAGATTTAGGCTTTATAGAAAAAACAAGCAATCCAAGTGTTTGG